ATCTCCTGAATGTCCACTGGATAAATGAGACTTCCTCTGGAATCATAAAAAGCAGGACTGGGTCAAGTTCATGTGAGGATGGAGCTACCAGTAAAAGGGACTGAATTCAACACCAACACAGATTGAGCACAAGTGCATTCCATAGTTGGCCACTCCCAGAGAGCGTAAAGCTCTGGGAAGAGGGCGATGGGAGTACCGAGGAACGCGGTTACTCCTGTCTGAGGACTCTCAGTGGGCCAAGTGTCACACAGATTACATTCCATCTGCTGCCTCATTTAATCTTTATTGTTATAGAGAAAGAAATCAGTATTTATTGTCTGCTTTCAGAGTTTAGGACACTGAAGTACAGAGAGCTTCACTGAGTCTGCCCAAAGCCATCCAGAATAAATGGTAGAGCATGATTTCAACCTTGGCAGGAACTGCTATACCCATGCCTGGAGCTACTACTATCATGAACTGTCTCAGAAGGGAGAGAACATATAGTAATCAGTATATGCATCTTTTTGATGCATATACTGGGAATTGAACTCTGGGCCTTACACTCATTAGGCTAGTGCTCTACCACTTAAACCCTGCCTCCAGCTCTGTTATATACTGTTTACTTTTGGGATAGGGTTGCTTCCTGCATGAATATGTCTGAGCCTTGATCTACCTGTTTGAGGCTTCCTGGCTTTACTGAGATTACAGATGTATTCCACTGTCCCAGCTTCTCTCTCATGGAGATAGAGTCCGGAGGAGCTCTCTGCCTTAGTGGCCTAGAAACACTGTCCTCCCAATCTTAGTCTCCCATGTACCTTAGGATGACAGGTAACCCCACTGCTCCCAGCTATGTGATGAGATGGGACCGCAAACACAGTTTTGCATGTGCTGGCCATGAACTGCGATCTTCCCATTCATAGCCTCGAAAGTAGCTAGAACTGTAGACATGAGCCAACCAGCGCCCAGCTATGCATTCTTTTTTTCATGATACATATTGGATTTGATAGCACACACTGTTACCATCTTGCTGAATCTGACAATCTTCTCTTGCCTGCCATTTTTCTTTTTCTTTCTCTTATTCTCATAATTTATTTGTAGGTACTCTTATGTATTCCCTAACAATTTGTGCGTATTTATTTATACATTAGTTTAATACCATATTCTACTTCAGGCATTTAAAACACTTTAGAAATATTTTTTATTGTTAAGGTCATGTACAGAGGGGTTACAGTTACATAAGTAATGTAATGAGTATATTTCTTGTCATCCTTGTTACCCCTTCCCTCAGTTTTCTCCTATATTCCTTCCCCTCACTCCCCCCTCAAGTTGTACAGATTGTTTCCAACATATTGTCTTGTGTATATCACTGTTGTATTAGTTCCCACCTTGTCCTTTGTCTCACCATTCTGTTGTTCCTCTTTCCTTCCCTAATTCAAATAAACATATATACAATACCAGGAGATCAAAATCAAATACAGTGACAACAGGGGATATACCATAGGGGGAAGAACATACAAAAGAAACAAGAAATCACATAGTACATTAAAAACAAAAACAAAAACCTCTTGTGTCCGTATCTTGGAGTTCATTTTGCTTAGTATCATCTTTTTTTTTTTATTTTAATACATTTTTATTGGAAAAATACTGTACAGAGAGGTTACAGTTACATGAGCAAGGTAATGAGTACATTTCCTTATCAAGCATTATTGCTTCCTCCTTTGTTTTCCCCTACCATCCCTTCCCTCCCACCTCCACAACTATTACCCCCCCCCCCCCCGCCTAAATTGTAAAAGTTCATTTTTCAACATAGTGTCTTGTACATCTCATTGTTACAATAGGTCAATCTGTATCCCTATTTAATTGCTTAGTATCATCTTATATGGTCATATGTACATAGCTATTGAGCTTTTCTGCTTATCTGCTAAGATTATGCTGGACATATACTAATTATTGCAATTAAGGGGCACCATGGGACCAATGTTTCTTTGGGTCTGACTTATTTCACTTAATATGATTTTTTTCCCCAAGTCTTTCCATTTCCTAACAAATGGGGCAGTGCCATTCTTACTGATGGAAGCATAGAATTCCAATATGTGTGTGTGTGTGGTGTGTGTAGTGTGTGAGTGTATGTGTGTGTGTGTGTGTGTGTGTGGTGTGTGTGTATGTGTGTACCACATTTTCTTGATCCATACATCTACTGAGGGGCATCTGGGTTGGTTCCATACCTTAGCTATGGTGAATAATGCTGCGATAAACATAGTTGTATTGATAGCTTTAGTATCGCCTTGTTTGTGGTCATTTGTGTAAATGCCCAGTAGTATTGATGGGTCATAAGGGAGCTCTATGTGTAGTCTTTTGAGGAATCTCCATACTTCTTTTTTTTTTTTTTTTTGGGTCCGGTCATGGGGCCTGAACTCCAGGCCTGGGCGCTGTCCCTCAGCTCTTCAGCTCAAGGCTAGCGCTCTACCACTTGAGCCACAGCGCCACTTCCGTCTTTTTTCTTTTTGCTTATGTGGTGCTGAGGAATTGAACCCAGGGCCTCAGGCATGCAAGGCAAGCGCTCTACCACTGAGCCACCTTCCCAGACCTCCATACTTCTTTCCAGAGTGGTTGAACAAGTTTACACTCCCACCAACAGTGCAGTAGGGTTCCCTTTTGGCCACCTCCCCTCCAGCATTTGTTGTTTTTAGATTTCTTGATTATAGCCATTCTAACTGGGGTGAGGTGAAATCTCAAATGTTATTTTGATTTGCATTGTTTTAATTTTTTTATTTTATTGTAAAGATGCTGTACAAAGGGGTTACAGTTACATGAGTATGACAATGATGTGCATTTCTTTTACGGCCAGAGAAGAGCATTTCTTCATGTGTCTGTTGGCCATTCTTATTTCTTATTCAGAGAAGTGTCTTTTTAAGTCTTTAGCCCACTTAATACTGGGGAGGGTGTTTCTTTGAGGATTTTTTTGGGGGGGGGATTTAATTTTTTGAGTTCTAGGTATATTTTAGATATGAGGCCCTTGATTCGATGAAATGTTATTTATGTATTTCATTTATTTTTTTTAAGACTTGGAATGGCTTGTTTTATGCTTTCTCTATCTGGATGTTAAAATGAAGTGAATATTATGCCTTCATATTAAGACTTTATATTATTCCAACTACGTATTAAATCTTCCCAAGGATTAAAACTTCATTTGGGGCACTCATTTTCATAAGCTTTACGTATACCTCATTCTCAGGAATCTCTGTTATTGACACTTATTCTTTAATTGATCCTTTTGTACATACTAACTTCTGTATTTCTTTACTGAATGTTATCTTGGCTCACATGTCTCTTACAATAGAATTCTTTGGATGTCCCTGCTACATGGGTTTATAATGAATCTGAATACCAAGAACTGTCGTAAGGTACACTGGGCAGTATTTAACTATTTAAATCTCAAGGATTTTTTTTTTTTGATGAAGCAGTGGAGGAGAAGATGGAATTTTACCTTCCAAAATCTAAAATGTCAGGAATAAACATTTTAAATGCTAAACTCTTTTCTTTCCCACATTTTAATCAGTATCAACTACTTGTACAAAGGGTCTTATTTTGACATGTCTCTATATGATGACAATGTACCTTGTTTAGACTCATCCCCTCCATCACTCTCCTTTCTCTACTACCCTCCCTTTTCAAACCAGTTCAACCAGCTTCATTGTTCCACTTTCACATGTACACCTCAAGGGTTTGACTGCTTTTGCCCTCATTCATCCTCTCCATTTGCCACTCCCCATCACTAGTACCTATACTGTGGACAGGATTTGTTTTACAATTCTAACTTCTTATGTGAACGATATTGCTAATCTTATTGCCAATGATGATCACCATTCTATTGCATCATTGCACCCAGGAAATGATTTTTCCTCCAATTGCTAATATGGATATAAGCATCCATCTAAAAGCTACTTGTTTTGTAATCTTCAGACAGCTGTATTTTTCACAGACTTGCTTCTATAACTATGGTCAGCCATTTCCAACTCTGCAGCTTTGGCGAATCTCTCTCTTAACATTTGTGACGTTGAAGTTGAACACTAGGCTGATGATAGGATCAATGGAAGTTGGGCTACTGGCAGAGAATATGACACATGTAAAGGCACAAAGATTTATTATCTGAGAAACTGGATAAGCCGAATGTACCAGGCAATTGTCCCTTCTGTCCCCTGCCTAGGTACGGTCTTGGTGATGTTAGCAAGAGTCAGGACTTTTGGAGTACTTATCATTTTTGAGTATTTATTTATTTATTGTGAAAATATCTTATAGAGGGGTTATAATTACATGGGCAAGGTAATGAGTACATTTCTTATCAAGCATTGTTGCCTCCTCCTTTGTTTCCCCTTCCCATCCCTTCCTACCCCCCCCTCGCCACCCCCCCCCCCCCCGCCAAAGTTGTAAAGTTTGTTTTTCGACATAACAACTTGTACAGCTCATTGTTGCAATGGGTCCACCTGTATCCCTATTTAAACGACTTGTTTTTGCCTTTCCCCTCCACAAATTATACCATCAAATACAGTGAGAGCAGGGGCTTTACTGTGGGGGAGGGACATACAAAGCAACAAAGAAATCATCTTACAAATATGTTAGAAACAATTGCATGAAAGAAAAAACATTTGAATACTTATCTTGGGGTTCATTTCACCTAACATCAACTTCTCTGACCTTTTCTGCTTGTCTCAGTTATTGCAAATTAGTTATTGCAAATAAGGGAACCATGGGTTGTCTGAGTTTTAAATTCAGGGCCTTATGCTGTAGTAATTTTTCCGTTGGGATCTCAAACTTTTGGCCTGGGCCAGTCTCAGACTGTTATCCTTCTACCTCTACCTCCTACCCAGTCAGGATGATAGGCATGCACCACCATATCTGCCCCCAAATACCTATCATTATAATTAATCACAGCAAAGACTCTCAATAACGCCATTTGTAAGAACCAAAAGTTGGGCCAATTTAATTGTGCTGATATTGTTTCCTTTGTGTTCTCTTACCAGTCACTCCTGAAGCGATTGGCTTCTTGTCTGCTGTTGGGGTCTTTGTTGTTCTTCTGGCTGTCCTCTTTCTCTTCATCAACAAGAAACTGAGTGTGGAAACCATAGGAGGCCTTCCATGTCTGGAGCTACGAGGGAAAAGAAAGTACTCTAAAGACAAGACTGGAAGCCACGTGGGGCTGGGTAAGCATTATGCTTCATGAGCTGAGCTTAGCAACTTGTGGTGGTTTGGGTCAAGGAATGGATGCCACTGTTTCCAGGATGGGTCCCGGTAAGATCTCACATGTGAGCTGTGCAGTAGCTGCTGTGGTGGACATGATGAATGGACATTACAAAAGGATGCATTAGCTTTGTGAAAGTATTGCACATTCTAGGGTTTGAAGAACAGATGTGGAAAGGCTAAGCACCACTTTCTAGCCTCTTAGTTCTTTAGATTTCTAGGTTGGGTTTTTCTCAAAGGAAAAAAAAATGCACTTCAATTGAGAGGAGCCCTCTGGTGTTTTACCCTTATGATGTTGGAACAGGGCTGACATTTTACTTCTTAGTTCATTTTTTTTGAGATTGTTCCGGGTTCTCCCACAATCCCCTTTCCAAAGGGATGTTTTTAATCTTTAAGCCCAGTGATTATTCTATGTCATTTACTCTTTTATTTTGAATTTGAATGGAAGAAAAAAACATAACAGATTATGCTCTAAAGGACATAGCTTGCATTTAGCTGCAGTGTTGCACTTAGAGGTGCAGAAAGTACTGGTTATTGTCAGACGGAAGCTCTGCACTGTCTTACATAGAACATCCTTGCCCATTTCTAGCTGTCTCATTCCTACTCTCCTCTTTCATATTCCATAGATGGCCAAGGAGCCATCTTGCATTCTCTTTAGAACAAGACCAAGGATGTGAGAATGCTCTCCAGTCCATGTTCTAAGTGAGCCTGGATAAAGTATATTTGGACCATTAATATATAGGTCTTAGAGCTACAGATAATTCCATTTTTGCCAGGTTGTTAAAAAGGGCATACTTCAGAATTTATAGCCTGGTGATTGTCTATAATGATTTACATTAAGTCATTTCAAAACATAATACCTGGGGCTGGGAAGGTGGCTCAGTGGTAGAGCGCTTGCCTTGCATGCATGAGGCCCTGGGTTCGATTCCTCAGCACCACATAAGCAAAAAGAAAAAAGCCGGAAGTGGTGCTGTGGCTCAAGTGGTAGAGCGCTAGCCTTGAGCTGAAGAATTGAAGGACAGCGCCCAGGCCCAGAGTTCAGGCCCCACGACCGGACCCAAAAAAAACAAAAAAAAAAACGTAATACCTTAAACCACTAATATTAATGTTCCAACATTTTGATATCCAGGAAATTAGGAGTGATTTACTTGGTGGTTCATCAGGGACCTCATGAAGTTGTAGTTAGAATATGAGCTGGTGGGGAGGAGGGCAGCTACTGTCACCTAAAGGCTAGTTGTGGATGGAAGAGTCACTTCCAAGATGGTGAAAGATCCCAGCCCTCCCCATGGCACCCTAACCCTCCATAGAGATCTTTGAAATCTTCATGACAAGGTGTCTGACATGGTAGCTGGCTTCTCTCTAGTAAGACACCCATGGAGAGCAGGGAGGAGCCACAACTCTTTTGATAAACTAATTTGGAAAGTCATACACTGTTGTTTTTGTTGCATTGTGGTCATTTACTGAATACATTCAAGGGGATATGGATTTGATTCCACTTTTTGAGGGGAAGAGCAGTATTAAAGAGTATAGGTATTCATTACTTATAGATTTATAGACACATTCTAGTTACCACAAATGAGGGAAACCATGCAGCCTATGTTTCCTTGGGTCTGGCTTACTTCGCTTAATATAATTTTTTCTAAGTCTTTCCATTTCCTTACAAATGGTACAATATTATTCTTTCTGATGGATGAGTAGAATTCCATTGTGTATATACACCACATTTTTCTTGATCCATTCATCCACTGAGGGACATCGAGGTTGATTCCATATCTTGGCTATGGTAAACAATAAGCAATAAACATGGTTGTACTGGTAGCTTTAGTGTGGCATGGTTTGCAGTTCATTGGATACATGCCCAGGAGTGGAATTGCTAGGTCATAGGGAAGGCTTATACTTAGTCTTTTGAGGACCTGCTATACTGCTTAAACAAGTTTACATTCCTACCAACAGTGTAATAGGGTTCCTTTTTGGTCACATCTCCACCAGAATTTGTTGTTAGTTTTCCTGATAATGGCCATTCTGAGTGGAGTGAGGTGGAATTTCAATGTTGTTTTGATGACTAAAATAAATAAATGACACTGGGACATGATAAATTATATAGGAACCTACTCATTCAGAGGCCAAAGGAGGCTATGCATAGGAGTGGTGGACAAAAGCTCCATAGCTTATGGACAGATGACCACATAAAATAATATTCTATGAAATGAACTCCAAGAAAAGGAAACAAGAGACATTCTTTAGTTGCCATTGTTGCTATTTTTGTTTTCTTTTCTTTTTATCTTGTTTGTGAGTTTGTTTGTATTTGGGAGGGTAAGTGAGGTACATAAAAGGTGGAAGAGGATGAACAAATACAACAGTGATACTCACTAGACACTATGTGGAAAATGAACTGGATAGCTTATGGGTGGGGACTAGAGGGGAAGACTTGGAGAGAACAATGGAAGGGGAGACATGGTTCAAAATGAATTGTACTGATTGTACCTGATTCATATAATTGTAACCTCTCTGTATATCAACTATACAATAACAATAAAAAAGTGTAGGAACACATTTTACAGTCACTACAGGTGGTAATGATTATAAATTGCAAATTGGATAATTGGACATTGTTCCTGTTGCCTTACTTTTTTTTTTTTTTTTGAAATTCACTTGAGGCATTGAACTTGTATTTTACATAGAATTTGTCACATAAAATCAGAGTTATGAATAGTGTAGCCACTACCACCCCAGCTGGGGTAGAAACTAGAATTTTAAACCCCTGACTCGTTCTCCAGATCCTCCCACTTACCCCAACACAAAAGATTAAAAAAGGAGTTATGGTAAAATGCAGAGAAAAAGAGTGATTGTGTGGCATTAAAGCCACGGGAAGAGGTGAAGGAAGCTTTTCAGGCCATTTTCAGCCATCTTTAAGGTACAGACACGAGCTTTTGGCTTAAATAGAAAAAGAAGGGGGTGAGGGGGAAGAAAAGAATCCATAATTATTCCACAGCCCTGGTTATAGCTGGGGTTCACTATTTCAGTCTTTGTTTAGGATAGTGCTCTGCACGCGCAGTTTTCTAGAGAAGTTATCCCTGTCATTGTACCTGATCAGGATAAAAAAAAATCGTAGGAAAAAAAAGTCATAGGCACCTGGCATGTGGTCCATTTCTTCTTTGGGGGAAGGATTTTGTTTTTCAATCTTTCCTTATAAACACACTATCAATCAGTCCCATCCTCCTAGTTTCCAAAGTGTTTATAAAGTGACTGTAAAGAGAATGGCTTAGCACAAAGAACACAGATAAAAATGGAGGCAGGAATGCCACACTTTTTTCTTGGTGTTAGGATGAGCAGACTTCTTGGACATGGTGGATGTAGGATTATAGTTCTGCTTTCTTGCTTTTAGACCTGATTGCACTTCATTATGTGGCTTTGATGGTTAGAGAATCATTCTAAACTTCAGTGGTTTCCATCTGCACACTAGTGGCAGGGTTGATCTAGATTAAGTGAATTGATTTTATAAAGAGGCTAGTATTGTGGCTGTGGGGCAAAGGCCTTTAACTATACTTGTAGCATCATTAACCCCACACATTATTAATACAATGCATTCATTACTTAAATTAGCAGATTAAAGTGGGTGATGAGTACAAAGAACCAAAGTGGGAGCTATTTAAAATATTTCCTTTTTGTCTTGTTTGACATGTTATTTGAGTATTTTAAAGACAATTATGAATTATACTTGCAAATAAGTTGAGGTTGGAAGATGATGTTGAAACAATAACTATAAAGCATTAACCAGAAGCTGCTAGTTTTTTTTTTTTTAAAAAGCACTGAAAAATAAATACGTATCTCAAACTCAGAGTGGGAGGGGGAGTCATATGAAGAGAGATTTGCAAATAATTATTCAGGAGAATCTACAAATTATAATGTCTAAAAAAGCAAACACCTTCATTTTGATGTCTCTCCCTTTAAAGACTTAATTATTGTGGATCAAAAGCTTTTGAAAAACAGGATTCCACTCCACATTTTATTGAACCATTGATATTTGCCATAATTAAAATCCTTGGAGCAATGGTGCTCTATGAAGTTGAGCTGTCCATGTATTTTGACAAATGTAAAAGAAAAGATAGTGGCAGCCTGGTGCTGTATCAGAAGAGTGGTGTTTTGCCACTAATTGGCCATGATATTTTGGGAAACTTACCTCACCTCTCTAGGCCTTAAGTCTTCATTTGCAAATTGATGAGTCTGGACTAGTTTTTCCTGATTCTCATTCTGGGATCCTGTTTGACTTGTAGGGTTACCATAGCAACTACTTCTCTAGCTCTATGAATGGAAGAGATCTAATACAAATGATTAAAAATCAAATGGACCATCTTGCTCTTAAAACTGAACCCCATGAAATCTCCATTTCTGTAGATTATATAAGGCTATCAGCAACCTAATTAATCATTATCATCTCTTTGAGGTTTTTGTGGTTTAAAATAAATCATTTTAGCATAACTGGTAATGTCAGAGGCAAGAGTAACTTTATTTTCTGAATCTACTGTGAGAAATAAGTTCCTTGATGAATAAACCTTACTTTTCTTTAAGCTATGCATTTTTCAAAGTTCAAAGGATTTACACATTCTATGTGAAATTAGGTGAGAGGGAAAATAAGATGAAATGACATTCTCCAAATAACAAGTGCTAATAATGATAATTGGCAGGTAACATTTATTTAGTACTTACTATTACAACATACCTACTAAACGTCTATACACAGTATTTGATTTATTTAAGGTGTAGCATTGCTCTGGGAATGCTTGCTTTGGGGGAGGAGAGAATACCACTTGGAACAAAGATGCTTTTGTTCCACTTTCAGATAAAAAATTCATTAAAAAAATTTCCACAGTGAGATAGCTTTTAAAGAAGGAGGAGGAGGAGGAGGAATAAGAGAATGAGGAAAGGGAGGGAAGGGAAGAGAAAGAAAAAGAAAGGAAGGGAT